TAAAATGTGAATTTTAATTTTTTTTTTTTGGAAAATAAAAAATTAAAAAATAAAAAGCCCCCCAAAAAAAAAAAAAAAAAAAAAAAAAAAAAAAAAAAAAAAGGAATCCAAATACGATACATACAGCTATGCTAACTTTTCCCAGGATTTCTTGAGGGATTCTTCTGGCTTCCTTCAGAACCTGGTCCAATGATCCACCGTCCTGTTGAGAAAACATTTATATTAAGACAAATTAAAGCAAAAAATAAATAAATCACTTCTACAGACATGCATGTAAACACGCCTCTGTTTCCCATTAATCAAAAGAATGAACTGATTTAACAAGGGACATGTCTAAATGACCACTCTGGTTGCAACTAATGATTATTTTAATAATCGATTGTTCTGCTAATTAACTGGATAAAAAAAAAGGCACAGTCTGCTGATTTTTCACTTAGTCCTTTTTAGTATATTAGAAATGCATTACAACATGCAAATACATTATTTAATTCCTTTTTTAAATTAAGAAAAACAATGATATCCCAAAACGCAACAATAGCATTTGATCATTTGTAGCAAAGGATGAATTAAAAATAAAATAAAAAATACTTTTAACATCATGTGAGAAGGTCAGTCCTTTCTGCTCAACTTAATATTTAATAATTGGTCAACAACAGGAGCTAAGAGATTTTTTTTTAATCTTAAATGCAATATATATATATATATATATATATATATAGTGCAGTTTTGTTTTATTTATTGCTCCGAGTTTATTAATCTTCCAGCAAATAGACTTTTTTTTTTAGTCTGTATACTCCAGCTAACAATTAATCAATTACTAAATTAGTTGAAGATTATTTCAATAATAGATTCATCCCAATTAATCCAATGAATAATTTCAGCCCTGGTCTGGTGCTATATACGTTTTAAGAAACACAGATTAGGTCACATTTAAAGCATATGCAAACTTAAACATGAATTAACTTTGACACATGATCAGCTTTCCGGAGGAACTCAAACTCGCCCCCCAGTGTTTTCTCAATACACTAATCATGTTTTTCCTGATAATAAAGTCTCCAAAGTCTCTAAAACTCAATAGAAGGAAAACTGCACTTTAGTTAATATTGTCTACTTTTATTCACCTCATGCAACAAGCTCAGGAGACAACCATCAGTAAGAGTCACTCACCATGTGCTCCATGCAGATGCTGATCTCTCCATCGCTGTAAAAAGCTCCGTAGAAGCCCACGATGTAGGGAGAGTTGCACTCGTGCAGCACCTGCAGCTCTCGGATGATCTGGTTTCTGATGGCGGGCTTGATTTCCAGGTGAATTAGCTGGGAAAAGAGAAGTTGAGAGCTTCTACTGATGTTGAAGTAACGGCCTTTAACAGACCAAGGTGACATGTCGACTTACAACTACAACACCGTGCGTATTTAATGACCCGAAAAGACACGGATCACTTCTCATACAACTGGAATGCCTTGCTGAAATTGGAAACACAATACACTTTCAAGTTGCTACCAAGTGGTTCTGAACTTTTTCTTGGAAACTATACCAGCAAGTTAAAACAGCCCACAAGCTTGAGCATGCCAGAGCTGCAGCTTCAGAATCTGAACGAGGGCCTCTGCAGGTTCAAATTCAACACTTATTAAAAGATCATTACGATTTAAATTTATGGCATACACGATTCACAAAAAAATATAATAATAATAATAAATCCAACATGCTTAATTCCACTTGTTAGCTTACTTGCCAAATAGCTTCTACTTAACCCAAGTGAGCCAAATACAACTTTAGCAACTAAAGCTGGTGTCTTATCTGAAACATTTTAATAATGAAGGAGTTAGCTTATTTTGATTAATAAAATCACATCTTGTTTTGATTTTTATTGACTTAAATGCAAAAGGTTAATTATAGCAGCAAAACTCTTTCAAACATTTGCTGGGTAGTTTGAATGTCTGAAATAAATCAGACGGAAAAAGTGATGAACAAACAGACCTACACATTTGTAGCATAACTAAATGTGGTCATAGATCTTGCATGGGAAATGTGAGTTTTTCAGACTTTTTAAATAGTAACACTTAAGATTATTGAAATAAAAAAAAAAATTGTGAACCTCCACAAACTTTGGACCATCAATTTAACTTCCCCTAGTTTCCAATATTTTCTGAAAATGAGGCATTGTTGGCAAGTAACCCAACTTTCGCATAACGTGGTAGGCTATTGAGATATTCTTTGGATTGTGGTAGCAGGTTTGAGCCCAACATAAAAAGAAAAAAAAAATGTAATTATCACTATGTACGTGTTAAAGCATGTGTCTCTAAGCTTTATCTGATCTTATTTAACTCAGAACCTGTCAAACCATGAAAGAATGGGAAGAAAACAAAAAATAAAAAAACAGAAAAAAAAACATCTCTGCTTCACCTGATGCAAAAAAAAAAAAAAAAAAAAAAAAAAAAAAAAAAAATTTACAACAATTTCCCTTTTAACACATGACCAAAAGAGG